TCTCTTAATTCTCTCCCTCATAGCTATCACTCTGATGGCTCTCTCTATCTTGTGGCAAAATACATGTAGTTGTTTTTGTTCTTTGCTCTACTAAGAAACTTCCATGGATTGTTACATTTAACTAATTGTTGATTAATACATGGATTGCTCTACTAAGCGTTGAGCTCTACTAAACGAGATTTAAGGACTTTGACCTCCAAATGTAGTTAACAAGTACCAGAATATAACTAAAATACCAAGGGCCAACGCGAAATATATCTAGTCATCTACATTATGCCAAATATTTTCATTATTTAATTAAAGAACATTCTACGACTTTTCTGTAAAAATATTTGTCTGCTTCCTTTGAATATTATAATGCTTCATCAGGCTGACAATTAGAATAAGCAACATACACAAATATACATACAAATACAAATGACATATTTTTGTCTCAAATAAAATAGCCTACTCAATCTCAAAAGTATTGTGCTCTTTTTGTCTCCAAAATGCAAGGTCAACATGTTACCAGGCATGTCTCTGTGAAAATTTTAAGCAAACTTATATTTTCAAATATATTCTTGATCGATGCAACTAAGGGACGAAAGATGCAATGAAATTCAACTGATTTTTTTTTTTTTTTTAATTTGAAGCAGATTGAGAAATTTGACTAAATGAAATTTCCATTTCATAACTAACAAACTTCGCGTAACAACAATATCAGTACTACAACACAATAAAATATAGCCAAAAATGCAAATGTCAACAATACTATAGAATTATTTATTAACACTAACTATTTGACAATTAATAGTACCTATACGTACCTAGCAAAATACATGAATATTGTAACTGGGTAACTAGCGTAACGGGTAAAGTTGCTGCCATGTGACCTCCTGCCGTGGAAACAGCCTCTTGTAGAAATGCAGGGTAAGGCTGCGCTGCGTATAGTAGATCCATATGATCCGGCTCTTCCCTGAACCCCGCGCATAGCTGGAGTTTAGTGCACCGGGCTGCCCTTTTATACGTACCTAGCTAATGTAAAGATTGTTATGGACTTATTCTTACAAGTCTAAGCACGTGCCTTGTAGCAATCACCTCTCTCTTTTTCTCACTTCATTTCACATAGTCTCATCTCATGCAAATTCCTATAAATACCACCTCAAACCCTCACGTCCAAAATCATCCCATCTTTCTATATATAAACTCTCAAAATTATATATATATACACACACTCAAGTTCTATTTCTTCCTTGATTATACTCGAGCTATTTTTCTAATGGCTATTATTCGTTCGAAAATTGGAATAATTGGAGCTGGAATAAGTGGAATAGCAGCAGCTAAACAGCTAGCTAAGTACGAGCCAATTGTGTTCGAAGCCACGGATTGTATTGGAGGAGTGTGGAAACATTGTTCATATAGGTCTACTAAATTGCAGACTCCTCGTTGTGACTATGAGTTTTCTGATTTTCCATGGAGTCAGAGGGATAATATGAGTTTCCCTACTTATGAGGAAATATTGGAATATTTGTATTCCTATGCTCAATATTTTGATGTGTTGAAATTTGTCAAGTTCAACTCTAAGGTGGTAGAGATCAAGTTCGTTGGTGATCAAGAAATGAATTATTTTGGTGCTAAAATTAATGGTGAATATGGATGTTTGTTGAATGGAAAACCAGTTTGGGAGGTTGCTGTTCAAACCAATCAATCTGAAACTTTACAGGTTCTTCTTAATTTCTCTTCATTTTTAACATTTTAACATATAACTAAAGTATATGTTACATGTTTCGTCCGTCTATTTTCTGGCTCTTAGTTTGCTGTTATCATCTTTCTGTCCCTTATTGTTGATATTGCTATTTCTACTATTTCTTTCCATCTTTCTTGAGCCGAGTGTCTATCCGAAACAAAACGTATATGTTGTTCGGGTTGATTAGAAGGTGCAGAAATAGCTAGAACTGAATGCGGAAAGTATGAAAAAACATCTCGTAATGTATTTAACCAGAAAATAGATTATGCCTCTCTACCCTTCAAAGGAAGAGTAAGATCTGCGTACATACTACCCTCCCCAGACCCCACTTGTCGAACTTCACTTGGTCTGTTGTTGTTGTTGTTGTTGGCCTAAAGTATACATGTTATTATATTTCATTTTCTTTCTTAGTTTTCAATAAAATTAAGAAGAATGGATCTAACCTAAATTGGCATTTAATGTTTTATTCTTTTTTCAGTGGTACGCGTTCGAGTATTTGGTGATGTGCACTGGAAAATATGGAGATATACCAAATATGCCAAATTTTCCACACAAAAAAGGACCAGAAGTGTTCAAGGGTAAAGTTTTGCATACTCTTGATTACTCTAAACTTGATCAAGAAGCATCTACTAAGCTTCTGAAAGGGAAGAAAGTTGTGGTGGTGGGCTATAAAAAATCAGCAATAGATCTTGCTGTTGAATGTGCTGAAGCAAATCAAGGTAATTAAAATTTTCTGTTCATTATATATTCATACATCAAAGAACACAGTACTCCTTAACAAAGATTTCTGTTCACCGATAAGGGTTTTGTAGTAGAGTGGTAAATATTCCTTCATCCTTAATTACCAGAGGTCTCGGGTTCGAACCCTGAGTATTGAGTCGCCTTTGTTAAGGAGTGTTTTATCCCCTAATATAGGACTTTCCGGCGCGAATCCGAATTTAGTCGGACCCCAATGCGAGTAGCGGACAACGGGTGGGAAACCCAAAAAAAAGAGTTGTGTTCAATGCATAGTTTCTCCTTTAATCTTCATCAGCAACTAGATATTGTTACAACTATCAGCATAATATAATATAAAAAACAAAACAAAAAATGTAATGTCCAAAAGCAGGCAATAAAGAGAGGGACGTTAGTTTGTCAAAATCCATAAAAGGAAATTAAACTGTGGTTGTTGACATGAGTAATATTCTTATATTGCATGAAAATGCTAGCTGTTGCCGTAGTTATCATATTGATTAATCAACTCCAACATACTCATAACTTTCCACGTAAACCTCAACTTTACAATTATTTTAGTTTCTGTCACCAAAAAAGGGACCAGAGAATAAATGTCAAAAGCATAGTATTTTGATTTTTCAAGTCTCATGCTTTGACTTCAAGACTGCATCATAAGTATATTTTTCTTTCAAAGTCACACGCATTAAATATTTAGTGACCAATTTGCTTTTTTATTTTGGTCTAAAATAAGTGTCCATTTATATAACCAAGAAATAATTTAATTTATTTTTTCAAAATTACCCTCATATACGTATCCTTAAAAAGTCTTTTACTCCTCATATTAACTATGCTGCAACATTTAATTAAGAATAGTTTAGTCATACTAACTATTTTTGTCTAGAATTTAGTATTTTCTTAATGGGTGTGCCAAAAACAAATTGATCACTTATTGTAGACGGGAGAGAGTAATAAATTTCAAGGTTGAAATACAGAAACCACTAGCTTTATTTTTCACTTCTAATTTTTGCTTATCTTTTGAACATGTTTGTTTGTAACTGCTTGTAGGACCTGAAGGCAAAGCTTGTACAATGGTAGTAAGAACTTTGCATTGGACAGTTCCACATTACTCTATTTGGGGTTTGCCATTTTACTTGTTCTATTCTACTAGATCTTCTCAGTTCCTCCATTCAAGACCCAATCAAGGCCTGATCAGAACCCTACTTTGCCACTTGCTTTCTCCTCTGGTCAGCCCCATTATTTTCTTGTGTGTGTGTGTGTGTGTTTTTCTTGAAATATAGTGCATCATTTCACATAGGACTAACATAAGTGTCATATATATATTGCGATAGAGACGAGGAGCTTCGAAGTTAATCGAGTCCTATTTGGTATGGAAACTTCCACTGGAAAAGTATGGACTGAAACCAGAACACCCTTTTGAGGAAGACTATGCATCTTGTCAAATGGCTATTTTGCCTCATAATTTCTTCGCCGAGGCTGATAAGGGCAAAATCTTGTTTAAAAGAACATTGTCGAAGTGGTGGTTCTGGGAAGGAGGAATCGAATTCGAGGACAACACCAAATTGGAAGCTGATGTTGTCATACTTGCAACTGGTTTTGATGGGAAGAAAAAGCTCAGAGACATATTACCAGATCCCTTTCGCAGTCTGCTAGAGTTTCCCTCTGGCATGATTCCATTGTACAGGTAATTAGGCAATGAAACATTTCTATTTATTCCTAGCCAGAGAAATATTGTTGATAGGGCCAGCTAGAGGGAAAGGCCACTGGAGTGGTGGCTTTAGGCCACAAATTTTATTGAGCCGCTTCTCATAGTTGATGGTTGATGCTGAAAAACTTTCATTTTTCAATTCCTTAACAGGGGTACAGTTCATCCATTGATTCCAAATATGGCTTTTGTGGGCTATCTTGAAAGTGTTTCAAACCTGCATTCAGCTGAGATACGTTGCATTTGGCTGTCACGACTAGTAGATGATCTATTTAAACTTCCATCTGTTGAGAAAATGCTCGAACAGGTAACACAAGAAATGGAGATTATGAAGAGGACAACAAGATTCTATAAGAGAAACTGCATTTCCACTTTCAGTATCAACCACAGTGATGAAATCTGCGAAGAGATGGGGTGGCAATCATGGAGGAAGAGGAATTGGTTGGCTGAAGCCTTTAGTCCCTACAACAGCCAAGATTATGCATGGGGGAAGTAACCAAATTCAGTAAAATCTGAAAATACCCTGCTTAATTATGTAGTAGTTTGTTATTTCATGTATCTGCTTATGCAGTATATTTCTCTGATTAGAAAGGGAGGTAAAAAGAAAACGAATAAACATCACATGTATGAACGGTCTCAAGCGAGGTATTAGGACTAAAGTTTCTGTCTTTACTAGTACAAAAGGAGGAATAAAGGTTCTTTTGAATCAACTTCTACCATTTGAGTTACTCCATTTTCATTTGCAATTTAGTATACCATCGATCACTATCGATGGGGCTTCGACAACAGTAAGAAGTAGCAAGCTAAAGCAATTGAAGAAAATCATCCATTATGCAGTTACTACAAAGAGTAAAGGCCCATATATAAAAGTTTTATCACTCACAGGAGGCCGCGAGTTTAACATTCTACAGCATAAATTGTAGCAAGACTCCAAACTAACAGCTCCTTTCACATATCTAACAACTAAAAATGGTTGTACAGACTCTCAGATCACATACAATTGGCAGAAAAAGTACGAGAAATTTAATGTTTAAAAGGCAGGAAAAGAATGTAGAAAGGAGAACCTTAATATTTAAAGGCTTTGAAGTAACTTCAATGTTTCATCAATATGCTTTTCAGGTTGGAACTGATTGTTATATATGAGTTGAACCACTCCATTCTTGTCAAGCACATAAGTCTGTCTTCCCGGCAATGCACCAAAAAGGTCTCCTGGGATCCCCCATTCTTTCCTAACTTTGTTGCCTTCATCACACAATAAGGTAAATGGGAGTCTGTACTTCTTTGCAAAGGCCTGCAGAATCAAACACCTCGGCTCGGTTATCCTCAAAAGATGGCAACAGAACACAACCTAAATATTTGGCTGTTTAATAAGGTAGTTCTCATTAACCAAGTAAATGTGTAATACCTTGTGAGAAGCAGGATCATCTCCGCTAATTCCAACAACTTGAGCTCCTGCTTTCTTGAATTTTTCGTAAGAGTCTCTGAAGGCACATGCCTGTAGACAGTTTTCACATATCGGTTATCACCAAAAGTAACTTTCGCAGATCATTGTTACAAAGCTGTTAAACGAAAAATAATAGTCTAATACTCTTCCCAATGTAAATCTAACTCTGACTAGTTCAATTTTCAACAACAGTTATCTAGAAAAGAACAAAACTATGATCAACACTAGAGCCAATAAAACACAGTCTAAAAAATATAAACTGAGAAGGAAGAAGCAATTGTCCACTGATTTCCAGACGACGATTCAAACAATAAGTCTAAAGAGGGCAGCCTGGTGCACTAAGCTCTCGGTATGCACGGGGCCCGGGGAAAGGTCGAACCACAAGGGTTTATTGTACGCAGTCTTACCCTACATTTCTGCAAGAGGCTATTTCCACGACTCAAACCCGTGACCTCCTGGTCACATGACAATAACTTTACCAGTTACGCCAAGGCTCCCCTTCTCAAACAGTAAGTCTATCTTGTTACTTATAAGAGGAAGTGCTACCAAATCCATAAAATCGAAACTTCGCATAGACTAGCCTATGAAGTGTTGAGGTACATAAACACCGGACATTTGAATTAAAATGCAGTGAGGCAGAGGACCTAATATGCTGATGATTTACAAATAGGTCAGAATTGGAAGGTCATACAAAAGAGGACCTTGCAATTCCATACTAAGCTTCATATTACCAGTACAGTAACCGTGTAAATGGCAGTCCGGTGCACTAAGTTCCCGCTACGCGCAAGGTCGGTGAAATGCCCGGACCACAAAGGTCTATTGTACACAGTCTTACCCTGCATTTATGCAAGAGATTGTTACCATGGCTCGAACTCTTGACCACCTGGTCACGTGACAGCAACTTTACCAGCTACACCACGATTTCCCTTCAGTACACTATGTTTAATATTTTTTATTTTTTTTTGGTAATACTATGTTTAATCTTGACTTCATGATTCCAGGGAATTTTTCATCAATACACTATTTATAAAGGATAAAAATTTCTCCAGTTCAGTCACACAATCAGAGTGATGTTTTAAGCAGCTTGTTTTAAATCTTTTCTTCATAAATGTGAAATTACAGGACTAATAAGAAATAGAACTGCAAAATCTAAGTATCATACTAAGATATACCTGTTTGGTGCAACCAGGAGTTTCATCAGCAGGATAGAAATAAACCACAACAGGTTTGCCTTTAAACTTGGAAAGGCTCACATTTTTACCATCTTGATCTTTCAATGTGAATGGTGGAGGCACTGTACCTTTGTTCACCTACAAACATCCAATAAAATTCAAAGAGAATATTAGAAATCAAGAAAACACTAATGAAACTAAAAAGCTAAGAGAAAGTAACAAATGCAATGCAATTTATTTTACCTTAGCAACAATGGAAGTTCTAGAACAAGAAGAAGAAGGGGTTGAAAAAGAAGGTGAATTTTGGACTTTAAGACCATAAAACTGAGATTGTGATGATCTGGAGACAATGGTGAGGTTCTGGGAAATGGGGATTTTTGGGGTTTGACTGTGGAGCAGAGAAGGGAGAGTATGTTTTACAGAGATGGAAAGAGAAGCCATTTTGGAATATGTGATAAGATAATTGTGTGTCTATTGCTGAAGAAAGACAACACTGAGCTGCTTGTTATTGTATGGATTTCAAGATTGTTGATTTTGTATAGTTAAGACAGTGTGTGCATGTGAGCAAAGATGAGATGGGGTTTTTGACGTGGAGCATTGTTCACCCCAATATCCGATTATTGACAGTACGGTCGAAATATTAATTTTCTTTTCCTTTTGCTCTTTTTATAATGGAAAAGAAGTTTAAATTTATTGGAAGATTTGGAGATTAATAAGAATATAAGAAACGATGTTCGTAAATAAAATACTAGAGATCATAAAGACAAATTATTTTATTCTATTCTCTTTGTAAGTGGGTATAAGAGATCTTTTTCTTCAAGTTTATATTCTTTTGGTTTTCATCCGGTGTCCGGTATCTGTATTGGAGCCCAACTATATCCGTATTTGCGCCGCGTAGTGCCCCATTCGGGTGGAGGGGAGGGGGAGGAGAGAAAGCGCTCCCTACCAAGGATTCAAACCAAGACCTCTCGTTAAGTAAAGAAGAATCACATCCGCTACCCCACATACTTTGGCGCCGTCTATGGGGATTCCCTAGTAAAATTTGTAATTTCTTCTAGATCTATAACTATCACGGGTTGCTAAAAAAAAAAACAGAGAACAAAACTCTTTTTTCCTTGTACACACAGATCTCACATGACAGGTAACAGAGAAGAAAGAATGAGGGTAGTGGCCGACCTCACCACCAATCTTTTAAACACCATCAATGAGGTTTATGAGACAGAAGGCGAGGACATAACACCTAATGCCTTTCCCAGGAGAGGCGGGTCGCCTCTCCCTCACGGCAGTATCGCAACGTCCCACGGTAAATGAGCTTCTACGTCCACAACGGAAGAGACGCCACCAGCAGTGAAAAAGCTCCTTGAGACTTGGCTAGCTAACACGCTAACCAGCATCCTCAACAAGCCCGCCCAAGAGACAGTCAGAGAAAACGCAAGGACTTGCATTACACCGACAACGGTCGAGCAGCATGGCCCTTTCTCTCCAGTAATAGGTATTACTCACACTGTTAATAATGCAGGTGACGATACCCTTACAGCCATTTTGAAAAAGATAGAGGAAATGCAAAACGAGAACAAAGTGCTTCAGGACCATATGAGAGAGCACCAAGAAAGAGTCAACAATATACCAGGCGCCCCGAAACTCTTGCCAAAAAGAGATGTTGGTCGGTTTGTCGAACAACCATACAGTGATGAAGCTGCCCTGCATGCCATACCAAAGACCTTCAAAATGCTGCCCTATCTGAAAATATATGATGGTACGACCGATCCTGAAGATCATGTGACTCACTATGTCACCACTGTAAAAGACAATAACCTCGCCAAAGAACAAGTATCCTCCATCTTGTTGAAGAAGTTCGACGAGACCCTCACCGGAGGAGCATTAACTTGGTATTCACAGCTGCCGGCGCGTTCCATCGAAACATTCGAAGAAATGGACGACAAGTTCGTAATGGCCCATGCTGGGGCTAAAAAGGCGGAGGCAAGAGTGAACGACTAATTCGCCATCAAACAATTGCCCGGAGAGAGGCTGAGGGACTTCCTCTCTCGATTCAACCGAGTAAGGATGACCTTACCAAATATATCGGAAGGAATGGTCGTAGCAGCTTTCTAAAACATGCTGAGCAGGAATGGCTCAAGGGCGACCAGAAAGTTAATAAGTCGGCTTATGAAATACCCTCCAACCACTTGGGATAAAATACATAACGCTTATTGTGACGAGGTCCGTGCAGACGAGGACGACCTAAATGGGCCAACCCATCGGTTGACCTCGGTACAGGCCGAGTCCAGAAAGTATCGAAGAAACGATATCAGGAGGGACCTTGCAGCTCCACGACCTAACCGAGAACGGCATCAGCCATATATTAGAAGCGCCATCATGCCCCCCTCCCGCCACGAAGAGGGACCACCTAGACCAAGGACAGGGACTCACCAGAATGAGAGAGGTATGCCCCCTTTGTTATCCGCTCACAATTTTTGTGTGTCACCCTCAGAAATAGTCTACGCATTGGAGAAGCTCGGACCAAAAAGTGGCCATAGAACATGAGGTCAGATCCAAGCACCAAAAAGTCAGATGCCCTCTGTGAGTTCCACCAAGAGCGAGGTCACAAAACTGAGGACTGCATCGCTCTAAGGCAGGAGGTCGTAAACATGCTTCGCCAAGGACACCACAAAGAATTGCTGAGCGACCGGGGGAGGACCAACTTTTCCCGAGGACGTGAACAGCACCAGGGACCTCCGAAACCACCCTCACCGACCTGCACCATTCAAATGATCATCGGGGGCGGCGACAACGCTTCAATCAATAACGTAAAATTCACCACAACACACAAGCTTAAACAGTCGATCACTCACGAACGGTATGACGAACTCGAAGAAAGTATCATCTTCGATAAGTCAGATACCCACGGTTTGGTTTTCCCTCATTATGACACCCTTGTTATCACTTTACGAATATTAGATACAGATGTGAGACGCATTATGGTGGACGATGGAAGCGGCACGTACATTATCCACCCTCGAGTACTCGCACAAATGAACTTGAGGATAAGATTGTGCCGCATTGCATCATGCTAACAGGTTTTAACAATGCAGTTGAACGAACATCTGGGAAAATCACACTCCCCGTCCTGGCCGGTGGCGTCACTCTGGAAACCACATTCCACATCATGGACCAGGATACGGCGTACAACGCCATAATAGGCTGACCCTGGATACATGCCATGAGGGCCACCCCCTCCAGCTTGTACCAAGTTATCAAATTTCCAACCCCATGGGCCATGGGGAATATTCAACATACGATGGTACGCGAGGACCCTTCTAACTCGACTTCAAAGCGAGTAAAACCCTCGCTCAGCATCCGAACCTCATCAGGATTGAGATCGGAGCCCGTCTCAAAACCGTCCTCGGCAACCCCCTTACCTCTCTCATCGGTACACGAGGTGGGAACATCAACTGGCCGCGAGGACGACGACTCGTCTCGCCGCACAGTACCCAGAACCTCCACGGAAGGCCCACCGCCGCCAATGTCGGCAGCAGGAAGGGGCACGCTCCCTGCAGCTTCCACTGATGGCGATACTGCAGACGGAAGATTTGCATCATCTTCAGGCACGGTGTTGGCCGGCTCACGATCTTTCCTTGTAGAATCTACGGCTCGGATTGTTCCATCACCAATATTCACCGACCTCCTTTTATGAGGGACCAAATCCTTCTAGCTCGGTGACGACTCTTTATCTATTAAATGAAACAAGGGAGAGGCAGGAGTCTCTGTTACTGAGGCATCGATGATCAAGCCGATCTAGCCAAAACAGGAGGCGGAATGGAAGTGGATGGCCGGGTAGGCCTAGCCACAGTTACAACAGGGGCGGACTCCTTTGTAGTGTTCCTCTGGCGAAACGCAGGAGCAGCGGCCCTCGGCCTCCGCGAGGATCCCCAGTCTAAAAACAAAAGAGAAATAAAGGAGATAAGAGGTCGGTCCCCACAAAACAATAAGAAGCAAGCAACCAGAAGACCACGACAATAAAGATTCAAAACGGGTAAACTCTTCGGTCATAGAAAGCGCAGGCCCGAACTTCTTGAGGAAGGCCGAACATTCACGAATCCCCTATGTGTAGGGAAGAACCCGGCTCACCCAATCATGGACGCCCCCGACTAAGGGAGGGGGTGCGGTCTCGGCTACAAAAAGAGAGCAAAATGTCAATACGATTGAAATTAGCGGAACCAACGCATAATACAAAAAAGAAGAGGGAGAAAAAGGGAGAAACGCTTACGGGCATAGTTCCAAACCTTGGGGAACCGACTTGCATTGACCACCACGTCCTCAATTTTGACGTAGAAGTAATTGAGCCAAAATTGGTGGTTTGCCTTGTCGTCCATCTTCACCACTAGACATTTGCTACCCCGGTGGCGAAGATGTAGCATCGTCCCCCTATGATAGCTAGGGGCGAAGAAGTGCATTAAGTGGCGAAGTGTTACCTCGACCCCGGCCAACTCTGTATACTTCGTAATCATGCGGATGAGTTTGTAGATATATGGAGAAAGTTGGGCCGGGCAGACTCGGTAATAGCGGCAGAACTCCTCGGCCAAGGGGATGGTGGAAAAGAATAACTGACATGGAAAGGGTACGCGTAGAAAGCGCAGTACCCAGGGCGGTGTATTTGCACCACGTCGTGCCTTGCTGGAACTAGGTCTATATGGGCAGGAATTTTGAATTTATCCCTAAATTCGGCAAGGCCCACCTCTTTCATCAACGACTCCGAAACCTCAGGGTCGTCTTCAGGCACCTTTGAAAAATCAGATCTTTCTTTGTCACTACGAGGGATTATCTCCTCCACCGTAGGAAGGTACCCGTCTTCAACAACAACTGAAACGCTATCATCATGGGGAGGCATGCGCACCGCCAAAGGAAGAGGTTCGGTTACTGATAATACTAAGGTTGGGAGATCCAAGAACTTAAAGAAAATAAGCTGATGAAATGCGGAAGTAGTAAAGAAATGAAAGCGGATTAAGAAAAGCAAGAAAAATAAACTAGATATGTCGAAATTCAAGGAAAGGTCCAAGAACCCCGAGATTAGGTTAATCTAGATTTTGCAAGATCCTAATGACAACAAGTTGATAATGAAACCAATTGCCTTCACTAGAGATAAACTAATCAAGAACTAGATTCGGATCTTGACTTCTAGTTTGAATAACTTACGACAACAACTAGTAAAAGAAACTAGTCGCGTTCGAAGAATATCAAAAGAAACCAAAGATATCACAAGAAAGAAAAATTATCTTACTACCTTAAGCTATGAACTAGTTAGGGTTTCAAGATAAATCTTCAAAGTAAAGTTCACAAAGGTTCAAAAGAACTCACAATAATAATAATATTAATCTTCAATAATGTTTTACAATGGAAGACAAGCACCCCTTTATATAGTAGTAAAGAAGGAGCCAGTCAAGACTTCAATAAATGAGAATTATATTCCCTAGAAGCATAGAAGACTACCCACACTAAGACCAATGTAGTCAACATACACATAGACCAATGCAAGTCAACATAGATTAAAACAACTATTAAATATATATTCTAGAAACTATTTTTGGGCTTATTTGGGCTGCTGAAAATTCCTCTCTTTTGGGGCAAATTTGGACCTCATTCCATCTCCTCTTGGACTTTAATTTGGGCCTCAAAATAGTTGTAAGACTTGGCCCAAAGATCCTCCTTGTGCTGGAGCTCTTCTTCTATTATAAGACACTTTTTAATTGCCAATTGAAGCCCATTAAGCTTGTCTTGAAATTTCTTTGTTTGAGACCTTGTCATGGGCCTTCTTGGAGCTTCCAGAGCTTCATCCTTCTCTTTTAATGATGTTGAGCTGCCATGAATGCTATCATTCCCCTCTTCTTGAAGAGAATTCGCCCTTGAATTCGAGCCTGCATCAAACAAGGAAAGATCAGAAACATTGAAGGTAGCACTAACTTGATATTCACTAGGAAGGTCAAGTTTGTAAGCATTGTCTCCAATCCTTTTAAGGACTTCAAATGGCCCATCTCCTCTTGGATCTAATTTGGATCTTCGTTTGGCAGGAAATCATTCCTTCCTAAAATGCACCCAAACTAAATCTCCAGGCTTAAAAATGACAGATTTTCGCCCCTTATTTCTTCTTAAGGCAGTTTGTTCATTCTTCTGTTCAATTGCAAGTCTTGTATGTTCATGAATCTTCTTCATCATTTCAGCCTTATTTCTACCATCAAGATTGACAATGTCATTAGTAGGCAAAGGTAACAAATCAAGGGGAGTGAAGGGATTGAATCCATAAACAACTTCAAAAGGAGACTTACTAGTAGAAGAGTGGATAGTTCTATTATAGGCAAACTCTACCATGGGCAAATGTTCTTCCCAAGAAGTTAATTTTCCTTTTAAAACAGCTCTCAACATATTCCCTAAGGTCCTATTAACTACTTCAGTTTGCCCATCAGTTTGTGGGTGACAAGATGTAGAAAATAGCAACTTAGTTCCCAACTTCGCCCAAAGAACTCTCCAAAAGTGACTTAAAAATTTAGCATCCCTATCACTAACGATAGTTTTAGGTATGCCATGTAATTTAACCACTTCCTTCACAAATAAATCAGCTACATGTAACGCATCATTAGTCTTCAAGCATGGAATAAAACGAGCCATTTTTGAAAACCTATCTACCACCCCAAATATACTATCCTTACCATACTTAGTTCTAGGAAGTCCTAACACAAAATTCATAGAAATATCAATCCAAGGAGAAGTAGGGACAGGTAAAGGAGTATAAAGGCCATGTGGTAACAATTTTGATTTGGCTTGTTTACATTCAAGACATTGAGAGCACACTTTTTCAACATCCTTTCGCATGCCAGGCCAAAAAAAAATGTTCAGCAAGTATATCCAAAGTGTTGGGCACTCCAAAGTGTCCCATGAGTCCACCACAATGTGCTTCCCTAACAAACAATTCACGCAAAGAGCAATTAGGAATACACAATTTATTTTCCTTAAAAAGGAACCCATCTTGAAGATTGAACCTCTCATAAGGACCCAACTTACATTCTGCAAAAGCCTTGCCAAAATCAGAATCATTAGAATAAAGTTCCTTGATTTGATCAAAACCCATCAATTTAAAAGTAAGAGAAGAAACCAAGACATACCTTCTTGAAAGTGCATCAGCAACCACATTCTCTTTTGTTTGCTTGTAAGAAATCACATATGGGAAAGTTTCAATGAATTCAACCTATTTTGCATGGCGCCGATTAAGCTTACCTTGGCTTTTCAAATATCTCAAGGATTCATGATCAGTCTTAACCACAAACTCTCTTGGCCACAAATAATGTTGTCATGTAGCTAAAGCCCTTACCAAAGCATATAGCTCTTTGTCATAAGTTGAGTAGTTCAGCGTAGTTCCACTCAGCTTTTCACTAAAGTATGCAATGGGCTTCGAGTCTTGCATTAAAACAACACCTATTCCTTTTCTAGAGGCATCACATTCAACCTCAAAAGATTTAGAAAAATCGGGTAATTGCAAAAGAGGAGCATAACACAATTTTTCTTTCAACAAGTTAAAAGCATCATCTTGTTCTTTTCCCCATGAAAAAACCTTATCTTTCTTAACAACTTCAGTTAAAGGAGCAGCAATGGTGCTAAAGTCTCGAACGAATCTCCTATAAAAACTAGCAAGCCCGTGAAAACTCCTAACTTCAGTTATACTGTTAGGTTTAGGCCATTCTTTAATTGCCTTGATTTTCTCTTCATCAACTTCAACTCCCTTAGAACTAACCACAAAACCCAAGAATACCACATGATCCACACAAAAAGTACACTTTTTAAGATTAGCAAACAAGTGTTGCTTTCTGAGAACTTCAAAAACTTGTTTTAAGTGTTCCACATGCTCATCTAGATTTTTAGAATAAATCAAGATATCATCAAAATAAACTACCACAAATTTCCCATGAAAATCCTTAAAGATATGATTCATCAATCTCATGAAAGTGCTGGGTGCATTAGTCAAGCCAAAAGGCATAACTAACCACTCATAAAGCCCATATTTGGTCTTAAAAGCAGTTTTCCATTCATCTCCAGGATTCATTCGAATCTGATGGTAACCACTTTTTAGATCAATTTTAGAAAAGATTTTGGATCCATGCAATTGATCCAACATGTCATCAAGACGAGGAATAGGATGGCGATACTTTACCGTTATCT